GTGGCGCCATCTGTTTGCTGTTGGTGTAGCCGCTACAGACAAAAAATACGGATACCGTGAGAATGGAGGAGAGGCATGTTAAGCGTGCGTCCCAGCCCTCGATAATTAGGACACTGAAGGGTACCGAGTTATAATAGTACCTCCAACGCTGCAGCAATCGAGGAGGCTGGTGTTGCTACCGTGTTTATAAACTGATGTGCGCATGTTCTATACGAAATAAATAGAAGTGGATATGTGTAGAAAAAAAGCAGATGAGATCAACAAAGGATTACGGAATCTCGATCGTGCAGTTACAAACATTATGTGTCATACCAAATTCATTTGCTAAAAGATTCTAGTAATTCTAGAATTTAACTGATACAAGAATATAGTTGTCTTGAAATAAAAATCCAAAATACTATACGGTCAGGATTATGTAACGGAAAGAATTTTGGGCTTGGGTTCAATAAACTTCTACATTTACTCATTATCCAGATTCGAAAACCTGAAACACTAGGTTAGAATAAAAGTTTTCATGCCGGTTTACAGAACAGAAAACGTTACGTTACATTTTTATGCCTGTGACAAGTTATGTATTTCTCGTCATTTGTTTATTTCGCTATCAAACGATGTATGTCGACCAGTCAGAAAGTTTTCACCTGCGTTAATCCGTGTAGAAAGAAGGGTTATTCAGAGTTAGTCGCCCAGTGAACGGAAAAAAACATAATTAACTGACACAAGATTTAGAGAATATGGGCAGTGTAATAAAACTTGCCATTTGAAGTCCAGGAGGGCAGCTTTAAGCGTTTGCCGTGCTGCAATGGAGCAGGATTATTTGACCTTATTTATCGGGTTTTATCTCTTGAATAGCCTGGTTCACTTCATACAACGTTGCCAGGCAGATTAAACAAAAATCAATTGTTCGGTTAAAAGAATAACTGCTGGACGAAGGTTCTGGATGAAGATCTTTTTTCTATAGCCAACGATATTCCTGGCCAAATTGATTATTGCGGCCGCGTGATACCCGATATTGGGGAACATGCTGCGATGCGGCATTAAGCCGTAACTCCTTGTCAATTCGGAGAATTTTTGACGTACCCAAGCTACAAATTCCTGTGCATACCCGAAAAACTTAAGATAACTATAGAAGGTCGTGTGGCTGCTTTTCAACCAATTTTTGGTGTTGGCGTCCTTCCTTTAGATGTGCTCTCATATTTTGGCCACTTGAATTTACCAAATTCAAGTGGTCGGCCAAAACGTGGATAACCGCTAGGTCTGGGAAACAGGTTTCAAACTTGGTTAACTATTTCTGAGCAGTCCTTTTAGCATCAACATCATTGCTGTATATAAAGCGAATTTTCTAGATTGTTTTGACAGCGTATTGGCCTCGATGAAACGCTGAGTACAAAGAACCTCGACAAAAAAAAAAACACTACCTGGAACATCTATCTTTAGAGAGTTCTTTCGAGCCCAAATTGTACCAATAATACAATACCGTTACATAGAACAGGAAGCACACTCTCAAATGGTATATCAAAAATGAGCAACAAGCAAAAAGAGGTAAACAATTTAAGGCACATAAACTTTTTTTTCCTTTCCAATCTAATAAGTCAAATGTCTCTACAGAGTATGTTTTTTAGAAACAAAATAAGCTATACGTATAATCTAGGTTTGCATGGGTTGTTTTCAAAGACTTCAGGATAACAAGCAAAGTAAGCTGATTGCTGACAGTATTTTTCAAATACACACAGATCTCTATGTGGCTTCGTGTCTTCTTCTCGTACCTAGTGCTTCTTACTAATCACAACGCCGTATGTACATGACGATAGGCCTATCCCTTCTCATCCACCGAAGCGGTTGCGATTTGTCAATTGTGATTCGAACATTTCTAGTTGTTGTATATGAGGGACGGATGCGGGGCCGACTCGATAGAAGATGTCGAATGAGCGAAGTCAAGGAGTTCTTATCGGTATTCGGTCATCCGCAATGCGTCCGATTGGGAAAATTCTCTGCGAACGACCACATGTCCTTATGGGTAGTTATATCGAAGGAAAGGTACGTGCCTTGTTTTTCCGAATTTTTCAAGAGCCCTTGAAAGGCAGGTTCGGTCCATTCACTGGCCGCAAGTCATCCAGCTTGACCTATTAGTAGTACACGTTTGCTGAATACGTTAACGATATAGTTTAAAATAATGTTTACGAAATATATATATATTCATTACTTAATATGCGTTTATCATTAGACGTGGTAAAGCCTCAACAAAGGCTGTACTAATGTAAATACATTCTTTATCTAAAATTGAAAGCATTCGGACGGACATTTTCTTGTTCGAAAGGTTCTGTGCCCGAATACATGTATGACACGGGAGCGCCCGACCCATGGTTTCTTAGAAAAAAGATTACAACACAGACGAAGTAGCTCGCAGGGAGGGATGGTGATGCGGACAAAAGTTGTTAGCCAGCCAAGCAACTTAAATAATAAATTCAAAAGCTAGCTTGTAGTCTAAATTGTTGAATTTTGTGATTTTAGGAGTACCCCTGGCCACTTATAGATAATGTATATAAAAAAGCGTATTCGCTGCCTCGATACTGGCTGGCGGGCGACAAGGTAGTCCCACCGAAACTGGTACTTAACATGTCTGTAGTATAAATGCACAAGGGATAACAGCCATGCGCTTGTAATTAGAATCACTCTAAATTTTACCTTTCCAGTCAGCCATAGATTCCACTGTCAAGAGGACCATATTATTTTTTTTATTGTCAAATCTCTTCTTCCTGACATCTGCGCTTCTCTGCAAGCTTACATGGAGGCACCGTACCTATGTTTTATAATCATTGAAAACTAAGAATGAATGTTTTCCGTGACCATGCGAGAGGTTAATTGGCTCTCCGCATGGTGCCGTTAGCTCTGGTTTTTTCCCCATTGGCCGCTTGCTTGCACACAAAGAAGGCGGACCTGTTCATGTTTGCCAGTATCCTTGCTAAATATCGGTTTGCGAAAAAAAGGCCCCGTAAACTGGCCTGGAGCTTTTTCTTTCGTCCTTTGTCCATGTAGAAAAAGTGAATTACTAAACCAAGATTATGGCTTACACTTTCCATGCATACATATGTACATATCTTTGTGGGCAGGCCAGCGGGTAGAGAACCGTGAACGACTAATTACTAGGCAGTAACCAGCGATCGGAGCATAAGCGGTACGAGCCGCTGCAGCCAAATTCTTAATTACAACAATCCGTGCTTTTAAGTCGGACCGCTCGACCAACAGAACGCAGCAGAGAGGAATTCAGCTTTCTGCTACCAACCGACCAGCCGAGGAAGCGACTTTGTATCCGGAACGTATCTCTGCCTTTCAACATGTCATTCAACATAGTCTTGGATATTCCCGAGTGATACATGGCGCTATGATTATCGTTATGCGTATGATGTGTACATACAGCTCTTTCTGCTTGCCTTTGCTTGAAAAACCTTGCCTTCTAGAAAAAATGAGAAAGAATAAGATAAGGACCGAGTAACAGGCAACGTCGAAATTGCCTTGCGGGCCAAGTTGTCGTATATAGGATATTCGTTTCGTGCTCACGTCGGCCACCTATTCGGCCCAAACCACTTGCTGGAACCGAATCCCTCTAGGTAAAGCTGCATAGCCTCAGAACAGCTCACCCAAGCCCATTCTCCAGTTCCCAATTTAGCTGGCTATCCAGTCGGCTCCAAAGTGTTCCGTTCTTCTGCATGGATACTACAATTCCTATACACGCTTCTCTTTCTTCTTCAACAAGAGTGCTTGTCGTCCAGTCCCTCAGGTCGTTCCTCTTATATAAAATCCTCCTCGTCAGCCGTTGTTTTGTGCTGCCTCTCGCCTAACTGCGACAGTTGAGCGCTTGAAAGGCCCTCCAGCCAACAGTGACAATTGTGTGCAAAATACATGCACTTCTGTGTATATGGCTGTAACGAGTGGCTTGCTCTCGTTGGTAGCTTGTGCTTTTACTCCCGCATCAACCATTCCCTCATGTCGGCAGCGCGACCATGGTGGCGACGACAAGGCCAAACTCTTGATAAAATGAAGAGATTCCCGCAGGGAGCAGTCTGGGCGCACGCACTGCTGGACATCGGGCACGAGTTTTACCGGACCGTTGAGCTGTCAAAGCAAAGACAGGACATAGAACACCATGTGCGCATTCATCCTGACCAGGACATCCAACCTGGCCTCCGCCAGTTTCCTATGTCGCTCTCGTACTAAAGTAGAAGCTCGCATCGGTCGGGAATGTCATTCGAGCTCACGGTTTGCAGGGACCGCTGCTGTTGCCGCCGCCGCCGCCGCTGACGAACGTATAAAAACAACCATATCACCGGTCAGGTCTGGAGGGAATACTTCTATACGCACATTCATATATTTCGTCAGGCAGAAAATAGCTTAAATTTTCTAATTGCTATGGCTTCTGTCTAATATCTATGGCGTTATAGAGCAGGAAGGGGTGTGCAAGCCTAACTTTTTTTGTGTTTTTATCGGCGATGGAGCTGAAGGTTTAGGTATGTACAGGCATATGATGACGTGGGACTGTCAGTACAGTCTTACAGAGTTTCATCTACGGAAATTGTGTCAAATAGTAGATATAATTATTCATAGACTTTTAAGCTAGTCGTTGATGTTTCTGCCACGGTTTGAATCTACCCGCGTGTCAGGTTGATGTAATTAAGCGTGACGCTGAGTAAAGATCTGCGTGCTCTTTCCGTATGGTTCAAATACCTGGGAATTGAAATACGGTTGCAATAAAATAGCATAAGGTGGATTTAGCAAGCAGTAATTTTGTTGCGCTCTGTGTAAGCGTAGTATTTACATTGTATGATTATTTCCAGGATTCGTCATAAACCGTATAGATTATTTGTTTAAACATCGAAGAGACCTTTGAGCGCGTAAGTTATTCCAATTCGAAAGTTCCCAGCTAATTTTATTGCTAATAAACATATATATGAAGATATAGAATCCAGCAACGCCTTCAGTGTCATTTGTTTTGGCAAGGCGTCATATCCCTCCCAGGTTATATATACTATAAAGTATTCTTGCACACTCGTTTTGAAGTATTTAGATTGTCTTCATGAAGATGATGATCACATCTGTAACCAGTCTAACCAATCGGGCTGCGATTATTGTAAGAAACGTATTAGAGATAGAATAGTGTACAACAAATGTTTCATTATGAGAGCACACATCATCTATACATGTAAAGCTCTTCTTGACTCTTTCTGTATCTATGAGTTACGATCTGTGGTCGTTCCTGCGGCTGTGAGTCTGGCAAACAAGCTTTCAGCTAACCAAATTTCCTCTATATGAAGGTCGACATTGAAATGGTTTTATTTTATATATAAATATAGACATGATATATATGTAGGTAGAAAAATGTGGTCGCATGGGCGAAGACGAAGTTTCTTCATAATATACATATAATAATAGTTCGTTGCATATATACCATTTAATCTCTATAGTTCGAGTTTTACCTCCGATATCGCTGTTGGGCATTTCACCAGACAGTTGGATTCCAGCATGAAACGAAGTCGTGTCTTCTTTTCCCGGGTTTGAACCTGGATCACAACGTGTCTCTAAGACTAGCAAGCAAATACATTATCGATTAAGTTACCATGGGGACAGCTTAGCGGATATTCATTCACCTAACCATTTTCTACTAATAATTTACTGAACGTGTCCATACTCACTCCCTGCAAATGACTATCAATAACATCTACGCGACGTATTTAATCATTGTCCCGGACCGTTAATGCATGTTTACCAGCGACGGTTAACCCTGTCTGTTTTGACGAAATATCGTCGTTTACCATTGTTGGCACATCGCAAGCTTCTTCTCGAAGATACCCACGCCTGAACCCACCGTATTCATCTAAGCATCTTAGAGCCCTCTGTAACGTAGACGAGATTACTTTGCTTGACGATGAAACACTACCTCATATGGCAACGTGTGCCAGGACACGAATATTTTAACTTAAAATAATAAGGGTCAACTTGGCCTGCACAGTCACAAGGTCGACTAATCTGCAGAACGCGCTATGTGCTTATAAGTAGGTATACGAGAAAGCAATTTAAATCCTATAATAAAGATTACTTGTATATTCTGCCTCTATATATAATATACACCTTCAGTTATCTGTACATGATCGTTATACCCTGTGGTAACCTACCAGATGAAATGTACACTTGGTGCCACGTTTACCATGGACTAGTTGCTCCAGCACAATTACCCCACTTAGTCCGAGCAGACCTATCCTTTATCAGTCTGTATTGCTGCATGCCTTGCTTTCATATGTTTAGGCTTGCTGCCGATCGGTACATTGCACTTAAGCAGTCTCTTTCTGTTCTTCACTATTGTACAGGGTTTTCTAGTTGACTGCCCTCAACGCCGCATCTTTTCTCCATAATCGGATGCTCGTCGCAGATCGTGTTTCAAGGATGCGCTTCTGAAGTCGCCAGCCAGTAAGAGTTAACGAGAGCGTCTTGCGGTCCCACGCCGCTTAAACTCTCTCAAACTCGTCTTGTTTTTCTTCCCATATCGTGTTGCGTTCTTACGGTGTAGTTATTTAATCGCAGGACCGCAGTCTTTTGACGGCGTCCCAAAGAGCGCAGAAACTCTAGGCAACAGCACCGGTAACAAAGACGTCGTTCAGACTGCGTTCGACCGGAAACCGAAGCCACTCGGGCTAGAAAAAACTGTCATGACCATTCGATGCGTTGCGCTCGAATTTTATTCATTAGCCCCTACTAAGGCCCGAATCGCCCGTCTGTTCAGTTCTGGACGGAAGCAGGCTACCTAGTTACAAGTAAGGCTGGCAGGGCAATAAGGACGATTTCTGTACTGGCAACTTCGTTTTTCTCATCTAACAACTTTTATCGATTTTGTTCGGCTTTCTACTTGTACGTCCAGTGGGTGCAATACTCACACGCCGAGCGAGCCTGAGCGCTGTACAGCGAAAGCGGCGCCGGAAGTGTCATGTCCTTTTAATGTTTTACAAGCTGCAGGCGCTGCATATAGCCAGTCATAACGGCTAAAAAAAACTCTTTTGGTTCAGGGAGCAGCGAAACGGAATTTCTCGACGTGTTAAACGAGAGCAAAAAAAATGACGAAGAGGTAATTTTTAGCGTGATATATCTGAGAAAGCGACCAGCCCCCTGACTCTGATGAAAAGAAGTTTTTCCATGATCAACAATAGAGGACGTCGTACGTAATGGGGTAGTCATGTATACAAGACATATTAGTTACACTCAGAAGACAGTTTTCTACGAGGTTTTTGTTTTACTTTGCGCAAATAGAAATCACGCATTGCATAACACAAGCAGATGTTCCAGCAGGTGGATAATGCGAGCCCAACCTTGTGAGATGATTGCATTGGGTTTTGGGTAGTATTGACTTTAGAGGTCACGTAACGTTCCCAAGCTCCAACGTGTGCCCTTTCCGAACATCATAGTCGAGCTACCGTGGTTGAATATTTACTACCAAGTTATTCAATAACATCGACCCGTGCTACTTATGTGGCACACCTAACAACAGGCGTCCTTTGTAAAGCTATCCTTGATAGATAGGAACCTTTACAAAATCCATCCAGCTGTAATTCCTGGATTTTCGTTTCGATCGTCGTACCCTACCATCTCCAAGACAAACATTTTAGAACAACCGTTTCATATAAGAATATAGGTGTATAAGAGTCGACTCTAGGAAATAAGCTCTCCTCGCGATTTCTCATTTTCTGTTGACACCTTCCGCACGTCTTTTCTGAGCTGACGACTAGAATCCAGTTTTGGTTCTCGGCTCCTCTTCTCACAAAGAAACCGCTTCCTCGATGACCCTGCGATTCCCTCGGGGACGGAACGGCTGGCCGTGAACGTAGTTTGGCCTATGCCGCTACCGCCGGCTTGGCAGACCCGTCAAAAGCAGGACAACTCTGACATATGTGTTTGCGCGTCTATGAATGTTAGAGAAGGGGGTGAGCGTACATTGCCATATGATTTTATCGGGTACCTTCCTCAATTGCCCTACAAAAAGGTAGGGCCAGAGGAACATAACCGAAGCGATGACATCACGCTGGACGTAATGGGTTGATGAAAGATGACAATGGACGACATCGACAACCCACAAGAACTATTTGCTCAGCTATCGATTATAAGGTTGGCGTATCACTATGATACTATGGTTGTAACAAGAAAATCTAATGTAAATTGGCAGGTAAAAGTTCTTTTCCTTCAATTCCAAAGGGTACATTGGAATTGAAACTGAAGACGCTGCAGTGTTATAGCGCGGTATCTGTGTTTATATAGGTAATGGCCCAGCACACAATATGTTCATCTTGGTTGCCGTCAAGTTGGAACCGCTTCGAAAAGCTGTGTTGTCATCAAGTGCTTTGATGATACGAGTCTATTTATACATAGAATCGCACAAAGCGTTAATTAATAAAATAAATAAATCTCAAGATATATAGTGTCCTTTCTATTTTAGGCCTGCTGACTCCTAAAAACCTCCCCGGACCCATAGTCGCATCGTGAACAGCATATTTCCATCCAGAGTGAAAATTGCCGCTAGACGTTTTCATCAGTATTTTCACAATTCAGTGGTACAGTAGCACTGAATTAGTTTCTTTTAATTAGAAAGTTGCTTGTTTTTTTTCCATTCTACATCATTCATTCCTACAAGTGTCTTTCACCAAGTTTTTTCATATTAGAACTAATAGCTTGAGTACGACTCTGTGCATTCATGTCTGAATGCATGAAGCTTGAAACAAAGACCACCTGACATGTTTGTCCTGTTAACCGGCCGCTAGGAAAAGCAAGGCTATGTACAATGAAAATCGTAGCGAAAGCATTAGAACGTCAATCAATCTTATCTTCAATGTTGTCTTCTCTTATTTTGACGCTATGTGTGTTTATCGTACATCATTCCCAACCATACTTTAGTAGTCTCTCGTTGGAAAATCCAGTGCATCAGCCTATTGGTTGGTTCGGTCCCTATCGAAAGGAATTTCACAGAAAGCATTACAAAGTGCTGAGCGTTTCGAAGCAAGGTTGTTACATAGGGTTTTCATATAAACGCTTACGCAGACATTCAACCCAAAGCACAAAGCGCTGTTACTACTTCGTCCAATCGGCCACGTCGTGTCCGGCCCTGTTGACGCTGGTCGTTCTCCCCCTCTGGCCACCACCAAGCTGCAGGCACTTTCACGGGGGACAGGGTACCGGTACGAACTATTTTACTACATCTCGAATTAAAACAATGCATTTTCCCTTATTACTTTTGAGCAAATTACAAGCAGACCACCCACGGTTTGAGTTGCTAACACTTTTACTCTTTTGAGAAAAAGTACGTTATTATGATCATCTTTGTTGTTCGCTGTCGTAGTACTAATGTCGGCCTGAACTGAATACATCGCCACACCAAAGCGGAGAACGAAAAATTCAAAAAGGCCCGCGAGTTAAGGGGCATAGAGAGGCCGCTACAAGCTGAGATTGCGAGCATCACTTGCAATTTCTACAAAGTGAAAATTGACTGCATTCTATGTGCACTTCCGCTATGTGCGCACTCCTGTCGCAGTTCGTCTTCGTGGCAGGCGCTAGACGGCGCGCCTGAGGCCTTCACGACTCCGAAAAGGAGGAGCAAATCCCCTCAACATTAATTCTTGATTCAGCCTCATCAGTTCTCGCAGTCAGCGTCATTTCGACCGTTGTTTTGTGAGCCAGTTCCTCTGGCATCGTTGAACAAACGGGCAGGGCTGTGAAATGAAGGGTCACAGTTTCGTTTGCGGCCGCGGCGTTTACGCGGGGTTTGCGCAGCTCCACTCAACGACAGCGGCGGAAGACGCCGTTCGGTCTCATCTCCGTAGGTTTATAGTGGCGGCCTTTTCAGCATCCATAAGTACCGTCACCATTGTTCAAAACGCCATTGGCCGCGTGTTTCCGGCACCGCTTCCTGTTTCCTCTTAGGAACAATGGGAAAGATAGAGACCGACTATGTGTTTTATGTCACAGACGTCGATGAACGCTCCGGACGCTCCCGGGGCATCACATCTCTTTATCAAGACGCAGCATTGGTGACTGGCAGAGATCAGAGCAGGTGGCGGGAACTCGAACGTCCACCTCTGACATGGGTGTGTTAGAAAAATAGAAATGGGGAGACGACAAGCAAAAAGGACGGGGGAGAAAGAAACACTTGAGAGTATTTAAAGTTTAAATTCGAAACGGCTGTATTGACAGTAAGCTACGTTGAGTGTTCAGGACGTTCGAAATTGTGAACGCTAACCCTTAGTTGACTTAGCTTCGTCATGGCAGGCTGCCGTTTACTGTTTATAAAAACGTGAAGCTCGGCATTAGCAGGCACTACAGAAAATCTTATTTTTCAATAGAATCGCCAAAGCTCCTGTTATATACTCCAACTTGAAAGGTTTTTCGAAAGCAGAAATTAACTGACCGGAACAATAAAGGCCAGGGTAGGCACGAGAGCACGATTCACTGCGGCTCGTGATGCAAATTGATGGTCTCCGACGGCTTTTGTGAAATAGCTTGTCATAAAATCAAGAAAAAAATTACCGTTTGTGAAAAATTATATTGTATTTTAAATTGCTTATTCAATCTTAGTGGCATTTTCATTGCCTCCAGTATCACAATGTTTCAGCGCTCAGTTAATAAAACTTAGTTACTAAATTAACTTCGCCAACAAATGTTCTCCTGATTCCAATGAAGTGTAAACTGATTCAGCTCCACATAAAAATTCGCTTTTCTTTATTTTATGTTTTATTTTTAGGATATGACGTTTGGCGTTCGCGGGTACTCTGGTAGACGCTAATTGCTGAAGCTTTTGTAGGATATTGTGGCAATTTTGTTTGCAATGGCAAAATCATCTCTACGGGTGGTACATCATTTGGAGGTAGTGTCTATGTTTACATTCTGGAATCAATAAAGTTTATTGTCGTTCCAGACGATTTTTCAAACGCACGTAAGTGTTTCCCTTTCCTCGTCTTGGTTTCTGGAAAATTCGATTTCTCCTAATAAACCTCTCGAAGAGATAATGTGGTAATACGCCTGCTAGGAATTAGGTACTGGTAGTTGACTATTTCGTTCGGCGTTAAAAGGTGAGGCTTTCGCTAATTTAGAAAAATCACAAGATTACCTAACGTTCGAGCGTGTGAATGGTCGCGATAGTTCCAATCGTTACGTTTAGGATTACAGAATCAGCCAAGATTTGTTTGATAGCAGACTGAGGCCGGTTTTTGTTCCTAAACGACATTGATTTGAGGTGTCGATACGCGCTTAAATTATAATTTTTTTTTTCAGAACTATTAACTCTAACAGATTTCGAGACGCTGTAGAAGAAATTGTAAGACATAATGACAGCCAAAAACGTGTTGCCCCTACACAACAAACAAAACATAGACCCGATTTTCGTCTGCATCTTGCTTACTCCTGGTTAGTATTTGATGGTTCTCGATGTCTCGGGATACTCGGACCCCCCATTATATTGAGGTAATATATGAGTTCACATTATAACAGAGTGAGGCTGTTTAAGGCTTACTGTTCCAGCTCTTTATCGGCTTATTAGTATTATATTGGCTCAGCGTTCAATAAAATTGCCCACCTAACAGAGCGGGCAATATACCAACTACAGTGCAATAATAATTGACTTTTGGTGCCATATTACGTACAGTGTGATGCCTTTTTGCTGCTTTTCGAAGGAGGTTACGGCAAGACCAGAATAGCAAATCCCTATTTGATGCCAACGTTAGTAAGCACCCCACAATGGCTGATTTCTTCGTGCATCCCCAAAGGAGTTAATGCGTC